CACACCCCATAGATATACTCAAGGAAATCCCTCAATCTAACGGCGCTCCTCCAAGCACAAAACCTAACAACACTATAGGAAATCCTCCGATCTATAACGTACGTCCTTCCTCCACGTTCCAAAACACTAAGGGAATTCCTTTGCTGTATCTGACCATGCGCAATGGCTATATTTTACTACATAGAGTCGCCACACACTAGTTCCTCTGACCGCTCATGGTTAATCAAATCCGTCTTGCCACACCTATTCCTTCAAGAACGCGAATCCTGAGAACTGCAGGAGCTCCTCCAGGTACAAAACGCGCAACAAGAGTGAAGAAAATTTGGTGGCCGTGACAGATACCTTCCTATACATGCTCTGCCACACCTACCTAGTCTACCACTTGACCTTAGAGTCTAATATATGGGCATTGACGTTGGTTGCCATAGCTTATTATAGCAGGATCATTACATTGTACTCTTGTTTAAATTATTATCATTCTCATAATACTTGTGTTAGTCATATCATTGCTCTTTTTATTCTATTCTATTTTATCTTTCTATTATATCCTAATGCCCTATATGTTTTACCAAAAAAATGCCATAAAAAAAGAGCACAAAATTTAAAAAAATGGCATTTTAATATACATGCCAAACATGCCTCTCTTTTTTTAAAAATTTATGATGGAAAAATGTCATAAAAGTCAGAAAAATGCTATTTTTCTAGTACACCAAATAGGGCCTAAGCTATACTTAATACAAAACCAAAAGTCATCCAACTTGGAACCCATACTCGTTCTAGTTCCTACCTGCAAGAACAGCTATTAGGGCTGAAATAGATTTCTTAGCTTCTACCTTGGAGTCACCTGCTACTCTACATAGGTTAATAGCCTTTTTCCCATATATGGATATTGATATGGGAAAATTTGGCCAGACTCCTTAAACCCAATTTGGTGTAATTCTAGTTTTAAGTTTGCATAGTAACCAAAGAAAAATTGTAAAACATAAAAATATTTCATACTCTTACATGTAATTGGTATTACAAATTCTTTATAGCAGTCAGTTCTACTACTACAAACATGCTCTTAAAGATTTTTCTGATAGCTGAAAATGCAGGTCACATAAAGTACTATGACAAAAGTTTTTGTCTGATCAGTGGTTACTGAACAACCCTGCAGAAAACCCGACCTCAACAATCAATTACTCCTTAACAACTATGCCTCAGGCAAAGACTCACCACCTTACAGAGTTTGAAAATGGGCAAATTGTTGCTCTGAGAAAAAAAGTCTCTTTTTTGGAGATTGGGAATCTTTTAAATCATCTTAAATGTACAGTTCTTAGTTTCTATACCTGATAGCAAAAGAGGAGGGATAAGAATAACCTTCCTATGCCTTGCAGATACAAAATTATCCATACCAGAACGTGCTGCCACCTAGTCAGACAGTCTAAGAAGGCATACCATGAGCCTTTATCAGAATTGTGTAATAAGATTGCCCCTCAAGCCTCTATGAAGACAATCAAAAAAGCTTTAGCCTCTATCAATATAAAGAAGTAGAGGGCTAGGGAAAGAGCATTGTTAAAGGATGAACATACTATCAAGAGGTTACCTTGAGCAAAAAAGTATAAGGATTAGATAAAGGAGGAGTTTGAAGGTGTTATCTTTGGTGATGAATGCATGATTGAAAAGGTCAAAGATTCTAAGGATATTTGGGTATTCAGAATACCTGCGGAAAAGTAGTACAAGGATTGTATTCAAGGGGTCACAAAGGGGCTAGGAGTAAAGCTGATGGTTTGGGCTTGCATATGGGATAATAATAAGAGTCCTGATTCCTATTTTTGAAAAGAGTGTAGATAGATTTGAAGATATTAGAGTTTTTGGAGAATGGCTTGGTTGATGATCAGCAGCCTGAGGAGGTAGAGGATACAGTTGGAGATTCTATCTTTCAGCAGGGTGATGCATGGATATATACTTCAAGAGATACCATAGCTTAATTTGCGGAAAACAACATACAGGTTATAGAATAGTCTCCCAATTCTCCAAACCTCAATCCTACTATTGAGTACGGTTGGAAGAGGGTTAATGAAAAGCTGCATCAGTGCTTTCCTAATATTCACAAGACTAAGAAAAGTCCTGATACTGTTAGAAAATGTCTAGCAGAAGCTCTAAATCAGGTTTGGGCTCAGGATCTTGAGGGTACATTTTTGGAATACTTGTAGGAGTCTATGCCTAGGAGGATAGCTGCTATTTTAGATGCAAAGTGGTAGTATACAAAGTATTGATTTTTTTCTCTATAATTTCATATGAAGCCTTTCTCATATATACTGGATATATATCCAAATTTTCAGTTTATTCTAACCAGTTGTGGCTGCATAGGTAGTCAATTTGTTGTGGTAGTAGGGTTGCCATTGCGGTGCCAGACAAAAAGATTTGTACCTATACTTTATCTATGCAAAAAAGAAAAAAGTGTAAACTCTGAAAAAATCTAATTATGAGTCTATAGATGTACAAATTTCCTTGAAACATTTTTCAAGATCATTAGAAAGGATTCTTCAAGTGCAAGAATAATTATAAGTATTGAAGCAAATTTGTTGCATTTGTAGAGTAGTCTAATTTTCCCATATCAGTACCCATATGCTTTAGGGTCTGTTCGGATATGACCATTTGCGTCCGTTCTGTTCCGTTTCCCATACAACTTTTCTTACCCTTCTATTTTGTAACGGTCATACAAAATTTCTTACCCTTCTGTTTTATAATGGTCCTTTTTAAGAGTTTGGGCCAAATCATATCCAGGAATCCTATCTCACGATAGTTTCAAGTCTTTAACTCGCGGACTTTTTCCTCGTTTTTAATTTTGCATTGGTAGGAGGATTTTAGCCCTTTCATTTATTTTTTGAGGCTCTCCTTCTTCCCCTTCGCTCCGTCCATCGGTTGAGCTTGATGGCGCCTTGAGTTTCATCTTTGTTGCGTGGCAAGGCCGTTAAGAACTTGTCCGTCTTTGTCGAGTTGGTTGACCAGGCCTCCTCGCTACGGAAGGAGGTTTCTCATCTCCGGCACCACGTTTCCGTCCTCTCCCGCCACCTACATTTGGCGAAGTTGGAGAGTGAGTCGTTGCTTGCCTCCCGGGCTTCTTGTCAGGCTAGCAGCTCCTCCTCCTCGTCTATATTTTCTAGGAGTGACGATGATTATTTGCTACCTCCATTTAAAGAGGGGGTGGCTAGGGAGATGTTTGTTCGGTTGCCTTCGGTGGTGTCCTCCGTTTCGGTGGTGCAGGCACCTGAGCCCTCTGTGGCTGAGCCCGTGGCTTCTGAGGTTGGGGGTGTGGCTGACCTGATAGGGTTGGGTGGGCTTACCCTGTTTGTGGGATCATCCCGCCCCCTAGGGACAAGTTTGTAGTACCCAGTGCACCCACCGATAGCCACTGGACCACTTCTGGACAGAGACTGAGGTCGAAGCACCACCGGGTATCTGAAGATGCCTTGACGCCAGCTTCCTTAGTCCAGGTGGACTCAGGGGCAGAGAGTGTGGTGACTATGGTTGCGATCCCATCACTGAGACAGAGGCTGTGCCTGCAAGGCAGGCAGATGAACAGTACTATAGAGCATAAGACCAGTAGGCAGCTCGGACCTAGCCTGATGGGGAAGGGTCACAAGTCCTTCTGTGTCGCCTGGGGGGTGTCTTGCCATGAGTGGTTTACTTGCTTCCGGGGTGGTTCGGACCTGCGGTCCCGTATTCGTGTCCTCGGGCCTAGGGGTTGGAACCATAAGGAGGGTATGAGGGTTTTGTGCCCATGCGGGTGAGAGGTGAGGAAGAATAAGCTTTCCTGCCATATGTTCGGACAGGTTTGGCGCCTCCCGGCAGGCTGGGACAATAGGGGTGCGTGCCTGATGGAGGGCTGCTACTTTGAGCCGCTGAATTACAGCTTTTAGGCTGCCGGCTGGCGGGCGGTATAGTTGGTGGATTAGGAGTGGTGTGGTGCGCCTGGCTTAGCTGGGGCTAGTATGTGTTGGTGGAGTGGTTGCCAGGCTAGTAGAGCTGGTTTTGATTTATATAAAGATTTTGTGGTTGGCTGGAAATGGCCAAGACCCCCTGGTTTGGGCTTTGGCTCGGGATCACCTGTCGGCCTGTGCGGTTTGAGCCAGGCAAAGATGTAGTCTTACTATGGGTTGTGCGGGTGGTACAGTCCCAGATGTACTGCAGTTTGCTGGTTTTGGAGTTGGCTTACCTCTTGGACGTAATGCCATATGGCGCATATACCTCTAAGGTGGAGTTGTGTAGTTAGCTACAAATAAATGATTTTAATAACGGTCATTTTGTATGAGAATATTCAACATTCTCAAACGGTTCCTTCCCGCCAAACAGAGCCTTAAAAGTCTACCAAATACTCTCTTTGCTACTACACTGCTACAATCCGTGAGTTCTCGCGTGACCAAACCTAGTTTCCGCAGACCATGTAGCCGAAAGGGGACCCCTATCCCATTAGACCTAGCGGGGAACGGGATAATTCCTGACCCCCGGCTTGGGCGAATGCAAACCCCTCCCTTACTTTGGCCACGGCAAACTCTCGTGAGTATCGACGAAGGGTGGATGCAAGGCCGGGAGTCTCCGAATGATCGAGTATGATTCTACGGGGTGAATCTCATCGGTAGTGGTCCTGTGCCTCACGTTGCTGTGCCGACAGCAGTTCGAATAACCTTTCTCCTGCCCCTTCCTCACCATTTTCAGCACTCGCACAGGGTCAAAAATCACCAAGACAACACATCCAAATTTAACTCTTTATTGCCCTATCCAAGCAATATAACCAACTGATACATAGCACCTCATCCAGAAAAATTCAACACATGAGAAATGGAACAAGATATCCTGTATAACCCAGCCCATTATCACAAGGCGTTTCACCCTGTATTGTCTAACGCTATCCATCTAGGTAGGCAATCCCATACTGCGCCCATGAGCCCCAAACCAAGTCAAACGCAAAAAGGGATGGAAGATCCACTCCAACTATCTATGTGGCACGCCTTGCTTTAATTACCGCCACAGAGTATAAGATAATCCCACCAATTGCCAACAGGATACCTGTATCCATGTATTAGCTCAGTAGCTCGGGCGCATGGCGAGGAGCCGGATTTCTCACCTAACAAACTCTTGTCTGACACACTTCTTCCACTAACCATCCAGCCCAAGATAACTATGGAACAGGTTTTGGCATGGCCCACGACAGTGCTACTAACGGCACCAGCACCTGCAATGATGAAGAATTGCGACAAGTTGATAAGGCTTGCAAACAGACCAGACATGAGTATCATGGCCCAGCGGCTGATGGGAACATCGCCAAAGACCGGAATGCTGTCCGCAAATGGAATAAAGAACAAGAGCAATAAGCTGGCCGCCGGCGCTTGGTTGAAGAGCAGCTGCATGGAGCTCATATTAAGCTTCTTGTGGTACGCCCCAATCCAAACGGTATATAGTGAGCTTGCTACAACACCACTAAAAGCGAAGATGACACCAGCGACAGATGTGACCTTCCCCTCCTGTTCCGGAGTCGCTGGACGGGTGTCATAGTAGGAGACCATCCCCACACCACTACAAACAGGGATCAACGAAAGCGCAGCATAAGTGGGGATCGAGACCCGGTAAAACACCAAATTTATCAAGGCCACGAAAGGTGTGAGCAAGATTCTCGCAATCTGGTAGAAGGTGATGGAGGAATAGGCGAGCGAAAGATTGGGAAGAATGACGTTGAAGCACATGGCAAAAGCCAGGGGCAAGATCTCGACAATCCCGCATCGTTTCGGAACAAAGAAGCCAAAGGAAGGACGAGAGATAACAAACAATGTCAAACTTGTGCAGACGAAATGAAAGGCAGCGAAGGATGTTTGCATCTTCTTAAAGTTTGGATCATCGAAGATTCTCTTGTTTGTGAAAACCTAGCACCATAACAGCATTAGCAGTCGCAACATAGCCAGCCAAACAGGACGATAGCAATCGCCAATCTCAAAAGAGTGGGATGATTTACAATGGCGATAGTAGCCAGGGTGTTGATAGCAGTCCAGATCAAGAAGGAAGACTGACTCGACTTTTGTGGATTCGACTTGACAGCACCGTCGGGCAATGTCGCAGGTTTCAACTCATGCCCCGACAAGCTGCTGCGAATTGACCCACCAGGGGACAAAGCATCATCGCTCTCATCCTGCTCCCGTCGGGACAGTAGGTTAGCCTTCTGAGCTTCCAGGTCCGACTTAAGCTCAATGTTGTTGTTCGAAGATCCCGGCATTGTCACGCAAGAGAAGATGGATGGCGAGATTATGGTGGTTGGGTCAGGACGAGGGTGGTGACAGTGAGGAACAATAACCAACTCGTAATGGGAACCCGTGATGCGATGACCAGCAGCAAAGCTTGGGGTGGCGGAAAAGGCGAAGCCGGAGGGTGGATAGCGGATGAAAGAGTGACAAGAAGGGAGGAAGAGGGAGGCTATATCAAAGTGAGCGAGCGGCGTGATGCACAAAAGGCAATAAACTAGCGAAAGGAATAATGAATAAAGTTACCTTTGAAGGTTAAGTGGTCGCGTTACGTGGTCTCAGGGGAAGGGAGAGTGAGGAAGAGTTTCGAGAGAGGGGGAAAGAAGGGCGATGATAAAATTAGTTACAGGCCATGGCGGCTGTGGCGGCTGTGGATATCTAAGCAGTAAAGGTGTGGTACTTGTAACTCTAGTAACCGTGCCAAGGTTGTGACGGAGTCACAACCCAAGGATTGCTCGCTCGCAACCTTGGGCACTCTCTTTCAGAGGGGAGAAGTGCCTTTGAGCTGATGGGCGCTCTCTGAAACAGTGCCAGAGGAAGCAAGGGCCTACCACATGTTGCGGAAAGGGAATGAGGGTAACAGCCCCCTACCCTACCCAGCTTACAAGTACCTAGCGGCCGCTTTGCTCACCCCAAATTTGTGCTCTACCCGCGCTACACAAGGCTGCTGGTATACCGGAGGAGACATACTTGTACTCGGGGGGGGTGCAGTTAGCCGGGCGACACCCATATATGGTAACTAGGGTTTGTACGCAGAGAAAGGTGTTTTGGACAGTTTTCTTGTAAGGGGATAAAAAGTCTGGTGATACCCAGAATAGGCAATAATCCCAGACATTTTAGTATTCGAGTAACCCAATAGTTCCTGCAACCCTGATGTCTTTTCCGATGTCTTTTGACGGATACGATAAAAAGGTGCATGTTCACTGGAATGTCACACACCCACCAGTATGACACAACGAGCAGTCTCTCCCTCGATACTTGAGGGATGTCTGGGGCTGGGTAGAGTTCCATCAAAAGATAGGTGTAAATGACATTATGAGAACCTTCTAAGTAAAGAACCAAGGACTTAATATAGTTAGAATAATGTGGCTGTGATTGTGCGTTGACAAAATTAACCTAACAATAAATACTAATAATTTTACCATAGTAACAATTCTATTAATGAATACAACCACCGCAACATCAGGTAAAAAAAAAAATAGTTGCAAAACAAATAAATATATGGCAGTAATCAGTACTTAGTATACTATCCATTAGGCTTAGTAATTGCCTTTATTCTATCTACCATAGATCCAGTAAGAGTATTAAATACTTTTAAATCAAAAAGCTTCTCACAACTTGAATATGTAAAAACCCCCTTCACAGCATTTTTGACCAGATTTTTAGAATCAGTTATAAGATGGAGCTTAGGAGAATACTTAGAAAGCTTATCTTTAATGTAAGATCAAATATATTCAATTAGATTGAGATTCAGTAAATAAGGAAGAATTTTGAATAATGTAATTCCATACACCTTAAGCTATCTCCTAAAGGGTAAGTGAGTCTTAGTATTATTAATGATAAAGAAAAGCACTTCCCCTTCTGACTGTTCCTTATGTTAAAATTAGAACAACTTGTTTATCCTGTAGAGTTACAGATAGGAGTCGGTGTGACTTACACCTGCTACCAGGTATGATACATATATATTTCCTTGGTTGAGTAGCTGTGCATGTGACTAGGACTTGGATATAAAGGGACAAGGATTTCTGCTAAGTGATCTCAAACTTCCCCACTTATATATACCTAGTTATTGAGATAGAAATTTCACCAAAATCTTTGTTCTTGCTCTTTGCTTCTAAAAAACCTTTACTTTCTTCATTTCAGTAGTGGTAAGATATCTGGGTTTACCTAGTAATCTACCCTGATGATAGAGGAAATGAATGATGCCTACACAGCCTCCCTTCTCCCTGCCTTTGCTAGGCCCCCCATATGGGCTTCCTCCTCTAGGGCCAAAAGGGCCTCAGCTCAGGCTTGCACCAGCTCCTCCTCTACTATCAGCTCAAGGGTTGCCTTCCCAGCTCTTAGTTCTAGGGCAGGTTCCCCTACCCCTCTCAACATTACACAATAGGAGGCCCTCTATCAGGTCTCTGTTCTCCCAACAGCCTTTGCCCATCTCTTCCTTGTTGATAAAGACGATGCTGGGAACTTCTTCATGGGAGATTCTATTATTATCTCCCTCCTTGCCAACATTGCAGCTGGCTGTCACAAAGGGTAACTAAGCAAGGCAGATTTCACATAGCTCGGAATTCCGAGCTATAGGTATGTGTCACAAATGGTGACTAAGCCAGGCAGATTTTACATAGCTCGGAATTCTGAGCTATAGGTATGTTGGAATCTCATAGGATTGTAATGGACAGGGTCTGAGGGTCAGGTAGCCCAAGGCACACCATGATCAGGGCAGGCAGGAGTCCGGAGACGAGGTCTAGGTGCGGGGGTACAACCGATGCGAGTTGTACAAGGTTCGGGGTTCAGGGGTTCTGGGTCAGGGTTCAGGGGTTCAAGAGGACATGGGATGGAAGAGAATGTAATTCCTAGGTACAAGTGTCCGAAGAAGATTACCAGATTGCATGAAGAAAGTAAAAGATAAAGGGGCACACCCCTTTATATACTAAGAAAATCCTCTACGATCACTAATACAAAAGAAAGTTCTTGGCGTCGTGCGCAGCTGCGATTCCTCCATCAGGTTCTGCTATCTTCCGTTGGGTGGCAACGCATCCCAATTGTTCATACAAAGGAAATCCAACCATACAACCAAGAAAACCACACCAATATATGCAACGAAAAGCCCATGCACATTCCGTCTCCATAGCTGGATGGCCGTGACACTAGCCCCCCTCTCCAAAGCCGAAGTCCCTTGAGGCGAGTCATTCAGGCAAGGGTCCAGGTTTGTACTAGGGGTAGCATTCATGAAACCGATCCAGAGCTTGGAGGCCGTTAACGGAGTCAGCTGGTTCCCAGCTGGCTTCCGGATAACCTCTCCAACGAATGAGGTACCGTAGAGAGTTCCGAACAAATTTAGCATCGAGGACCTCCTCGACCTGCCATTCTTGTTCTCCATCAACTTCTGCTGGTGGCGGGGGAGGTATTCTTTGACAGGGAAGAGGGTCCTGGGAGGCGAGGTCAAGTAGAGGGACATGAAAGACATTGTGGATCCTCATAGACATGGGGAGGTCTAACCGGTAAGCATGGGTACCAATCTGGGCGAGGACAGGGTAAGGGCCAAAACGTTTGTCGTCAAGCTTTGCTGAAGGTCGTTTGGTCCGGATGTTCTTGCTGTTTAACCAAACGTGGTCTCCCACCTGGCAGTGGGGTGCTTGTAGTCTTCCTTTGTCGGCGTATTCCTGCTGCCTGTGCTGAGCGAAGGCGATCTTGGTGCATAGGTGGTCATGGATCTCCTTGATACGGTCCACAAACGTCCCGGTAGCTGGCTCATCGGAGGTCTTTCCAGGGGTGTCCAGGAAGTCCATGCGGGGGTCATAGCCATAGTTAGCGAAGAATGGAGACAAGCTGGTGGACTGGGAGGCAGGGTTGTTAGCCGCGAACTCAGCCATAGGGAGTCAGAGAGACCAGTTGTCTTGTTGGTAGTTGACAAAGGTCCTCAGGTATTGTTCCATGATAGCATTGGCACATTCGGTCTGACCGTCAGTTTGGGGGTGCAAGGCCTTCGATATTTCCCTTTCCACCTGGAGCCGCTCGCATACGGTTCTCCAGAAATCAGCTGTGAGCTGAGTGCCTCGGTCGGAAGTGACTGTCTTTGGTAGGCCATGATGTTTCCAGATGTGGCGGAGGTATAGATTGGCAAGTGTGGGAGCATCAATGGTGGTCCGACAGGCAATGAGGTGGCGCATCTTGGACATTTGGTCTACCACCACTAGGATAGCGTCATTCCCTTGACTCCATGGCAGGCCAGTAATAAAGTCCATGGAGATATGTTCCCAGGGACTGTTGGGTATCGGTAGGGGACGTAGGATGCCAAAGGTGGCGTGCCGGGAGGTACAACTTCGTTGGCATAAATGGCAATTGGCCACAAAGCGACCTATGTCCCGCCTCATACCAGGCCAAACGTAGCGTTGGGACATGAGTCCGTGGGTCTTAGCATGTCCCAGGTGCCCTGCCGAAGGTCGGTCATGAGAATCCTATTCAAGCCGTAGGCGTAATTCGTCATGTTGGGGGACACAAATCCGATCACGGTAGAGTAGCCGATCCCCATCGCATTTACATTCATTGAGTGCCAGGAGACGGGAGTGTCTATCGCCATTGTTGAGGGCGCGGAATACCTGGATTGGAATCCTGTCAGCTTTATAGGCCTCTTTCCAAAGTTCTTCAATAGGGGACGCTCCGGCAGGGAGCGTAATGTTCGCCAACACACTCAGAGACTGAGACTTCAACACCACTTGAGTTCGATGGTCTCGTCGTTCCTCCGCTTCCTTAGGGGTCTGGTTTTTCATACGAGTCAGGGCATCGGCTTTGCCATTCAGCTTTCCGGGCTGATACTCAATCTTGTAGTTGAACTGGGACAGGAACTCGGACCACCAGGCTTGTTGATTATTCAACAGCCTCTTAGTAGTGAAGTGCTTGAGGTTGAGGTGATCTGTCAGGATTGTTACCGGCCTTCCAAGGAGATAACATCGCCATTCCTCGAAGGCCCTGACGACGGCCATGAGCTTCTTGTCGTATATGTCATAGTTGCATTCTGCCAGGCTGTGTTTGCGAGAGTAGAACGTGGCAGGGTGGAGATGTCCACTATCGTCTTTTTGCGACATGACGCCAGCAGAGACGAAGTCGGAGGCATCGGTTTCGATGATAACTTTCTTAAAGAAGGCGAAGTCGGCTAGGACCGGGGTGGTAGTAAAGGCTTCTTTTAATCGTTTCAAGACTTTCTGACATTCGGAGGTGCAGACGAAGGGTCGGTCCTTTTTGGTGAGGGCAGTGAGAGGACGTGCCAGGCAGGAGAAGGCGCGAATGAACCGTCGGTAGAAGTTGCCGAATCCTAGGAAGGCATGTACCTCACGTACACGGTCAGGTACAGGCCACGTGGTAACTGTTTCCACTTTGGCATTATCCATCCGGATACCTTCGGGGCTGATGATAAAGCTAAGGTATTCTACGTGGGTGACATGAAACTCGCATTTCTGGGGTTCAAGTTCGAGATCAGCGTCCTGTAGGGCCTTCAGTACCCAACGGACGTGTTCGATGTGTTCTTCCTCTGTTTTGCTGTAGACAAGGGTGTCGTCGAGGTAAGCGGTGCAGAACCGATCTAGTCCCTGACGCAGGACCTTATTGATGAATGCTTGGAATGTGGCGGGGGCATTAGTGAGGCCGAAGGGCATGACATTGGAGTCAAAGAGTCCATAGCGGGTACGAAAGGCTGTGTTCCAACATTCCTTCTTTTTCATCAAGACCTGGTTGTAGGCTCCATGGATGTCCAGCTTGGAGTAGATTTTAGAGTCAGCGATATTCATGACCGTCTCGGTTAGCAGGGGGAGTGGGCCACCGTCCTTG